CAATAAGATGATGCTCCTGTTTATTTTCTTTATGACCAATTACCTGCATGAGCATCACTGCTTTTCTCAGGATGACATCGTCTACCTGTGCAGACTGCTGGGTCCATACATTTGGCACCACACAGAACTGAACCAATCCTTTACTGTTACACTGATGATCTTTGTTGGGTCCAGATTTTCATCTAGTTCCTATTTGCAGCAGAAGATGCTAAAGATCTAAGCAAACACAGTATTTGCGGCACCGTTAGATTTATTTTATTAATCTGCATCTAGAGCACCGATCAGCTAGCCACCTGTGTTACAGATTTGTTTATGTTGTACCAAATTTTCTTTGAGAAACTAACAACTGATGTCATATTGCCAGAGTGGATTTAATATATTATAAAGCTCCAGTGAGTATGAACATAAATATCCTTTGGTGTGAAAATTGCCCCTAAAAAATAACTGCAAATGTCTCTATTTAGTAAACTTTAAGTCCAATAACCTTTATTATCCCTCAGCTGGAAAAGTTTATTGTATCAATAGGCATATATTAAAAAAATAACAATAATTTTTACACTGAAAATGCTTTACAGTAAGATCCAATGCATAACATTAGTAAAACTTTACAATCATAATTCATAGAAATGTATTACTGAGAAAAACTACAAAAAACAGCAGGTGAACCAGCATCAATCATCTTCGCCCAGAAAATTACAACAGGCTTGTAGGAAGGATCTGTGATAATGCTCCTAGAATGCAGCCGTCTGACAGTGAAGGAGATCTCTGGTCTCCAACAGCTTCATCTATGGGTTTTTTAATGTTGCAGAACTGGAGAGCTCCTTTCGCCTGACCTCCAAGGGAGTATTTCTGTTCCTTTGATGCTGCTGTAGAAGAGCAGAGGTCCATGATCTGATTTCTCTGGTTCTGTTGTTTTATCTCCTGCAGATCAGAGAAACATCACAGCAGAACCTGGACAGACCGTCATTCTGCCATGTAAATCTGCTGAGGATAAACCTGCTAAAGCTGCGGAGTGGTGGAGATCTGATCTGGAGTCAGAATATCTTATTCTGTCCAGAGATAATTGGAATGATGAAGTAAACAAGCGTCTTTCCTATGAGAACCGAGTGGATCTGCAGTACAGACAGATGAAGGATGGAGACGCGTCTTTGGTTCTGAAGAACCTGACGACTGAAGATACTGGATCATATAAATGTAAAGTCCAGAATCAAGGAAGCCATGAGAGAAAGCTTATCACCACCATCCAGCTTCAGGTTTCTCCTCCAGGTGAGTCTGTTTGTCTCTGCATCAGATCAGCTTCCTGGTTGTTAATGTGAGATAAAAACATCTCAGATCTGATAAGGTCTGCTCTGCTCTGTTTTCTTTTTTCTTCAGGAAGCAAGGATGAGGAGAGCAAGATTGAAGGAAACATTGTCGTAATCACAGTTCTGGTCATAATTGCTCTTGTTGCTGGCGTTTTCAATCTGTAAAAACAGGATCAGAGATCATCCAGCTGATGTAGATGTAGAGTGAATGCCTGAGATCTGTGGACATCATTTGCATCTTATTTATTATACCTGCTGATTGTTTTCTTTTCTATAAAATGCTGTGCTAATAAGTAGTGGAATAAGAAGTGAAATGTCTGTTATCTATGGGTGATTTGATTGTTTAAATTAACTAAGATTAACTTTCTGTCAATTGTTAATTATTACGAAACGGCTTAATTGGAAACATAATTATTTATATATGCTTTGATTTTAATGAAGAAATTTTGTGGTTTCTGTAAATCTTAGATAATAAATATTTAAAATGGTCTCAGTAAAAATGTTTCACTTCCCAAATGTACATGAAGCCTCTCATAGAAGGGATGAATGATAAGTTGGCAATAAGATCCATATAAGCCAATGCTGCTAATTATAAAACTTATCACTATACATCAGATAAGTAAAACTGGGCCGATACTATCAACTGATGATTATTTTCATTTAGCCTCTGTTTTTACATCAGGAGGTGGAGTGGAGCGGATTGGTCATGTGGTTTTTGTTTACTAAGTAAAGGTGAAGTAAAGGTAAAAGATCATGGATGTTCATTTGAAGCAGAGAAGCAAAGTCAGCACTGNGATGAAAATTACCGGCCTCTCTCATCTTTTTAAGTGGGAGAACTTGCACTATTGGTGGCTGACTAAATACTTTTTTGCCCCACTGTAGATACAGATGTCAATGAACATCTTAACTTTTGCTGCGGTTCTCCTGGGCATTAACTAATCAGAAAAGGTGATCAAGGAGTTTGTTTTGGGGAAGATGATATCACGATTTAGGTGGAGGCTGATTGAGGACCCAAATGCAGAGACCATGAGGCAGAGGTGAATCTTGCGGATATAATGAAAAACTGAGGCAGACATCCAAAAATCCAAAATACTAAGAACCAAAAAACCAGAAAACATCAGGCAAAACTCATTTGGGAAGCCAGGGATGAGGAAACAACAACAAGGAACCAACACTGAGTGACACTGAGTATATGAGGGGAAGAGAACAAAGGATGGAATAATGAGATGAATATGGAACAGGTGTGGATGGAAGCATCTAGAAGGAAGCCAATGGGAAAGGAAACAAACATAAGGGGGCAACAGAGAGTAACTCAGAAATAACACTGCTAGAAAACAACTATAAATACAAAGAAACTTAAAATAAACGGAGGGCAGAACCCTGACAGATATACTGTAGACTACATGCTGTTATTGTTTTTGTGAGCTGTCTGCATATAAGAAAAGATTTATCAAGGGATTAAACTCCATAGTATAAAAAAAAGCCGTAATAGTGAATTGTTATTCAGAACGAACAGAGCGAGCTCTGATCATTATTGCTGCGGTAAAACATTTTTTTATGAACCATGGTAAAAAAGTTTATAAATAGCCAAATTAAAAAGAAATGTTCAAACCTGCTCACAAAACATATTTGATTGTATAATCTGGAACTTGCGATTTTCACCACAAACCTTAATAACTCTTTATAATCACTACAAACAGTAAAAGTAAAGCTTGGCTGATGCAGAGATACCGGCGGTATGCAGGAGGTCTGGCGTTCTGCAAGAACTGCATATTTCAGCAGGATCATAATCATGATGAACTGATTCCAGAGGATGTTTGGAGATTGACTTTCTCGCTTAAAAAGTGTCAAAACTATTTTTCTAACTCATAAACTAAATAAAGCCAAGCTGCTCTCTAGCTTAAAGCTACAGAACTGTTTTTGTTACATTTTTAAAATCCTGGTTGCAGCTGTGATATATTTTTTAATATCATGTAGGATGGCTGTTTTAGAGCTTCAATTATGAAAAAACAAATCATATTCCGAAACGATGCACTTCCGGCTTATAACCTCCGCTTCCGGTCGAGCTCCAGAAGCTGCAGGCAGCTCTCGTTCAAATATGGTCAATGAGACGGCTACGTCATTGATGAGTCATGTGATTTCTAATAAATACCAACTGTGTAAGTAAATATGTTCACATTTTTTAGGTATTTCCGCCACTTGGAGAACACAATAAAGTCGATATTATACAAACGATCACTTCACATTATTTTTCACATTGTCATAAAGTATCAGAAAGTTAATTAATTAAGAACACTCCCACATAACGGTTCTCTGGTTCTGATTTCAGATGAAACGCGGAAACGAAACTAGAGAAAATGGCAGCGATGAGCGCCGTGATGCTGTTGCGGATTCTGGTCTCTGTTTACTTCGCCTTCTCTTCTGCTGGTGAGTTTATGATTTGGACCTACTGGTCCCGAGCTCAGAACTTCTAAACCAGGGTGAGCAGATGTCTCTGATTTCAGGGGACAGTCCCTGTTTGGGACCTCCTGTCTCCTGCTTAACCTGTTCCCGGAAATGTCCCCGATTTGAAAGTTTTATGAATGAGGGGGGAAATGCTGCGTGGAGGCAGTTATTACGGTAGAAGAGCGCGTGAGCATGTAGCGGGCAGAAACAGCAGTCATGGTAGCGTTTTACGCTGCTGTTAACATAAAGATGATTAGAAGAGTGAACCGCTTGTTGGACTGGAATGATCCTTATGGATCTCAGCTGCCATTAAAACACAAAGAAAAAAAAAGAGCGCAGCACTTTTTAAACAGACGAAGAAGTAAAAGCAGAAGTTCGTTATCACATCCCGAGACACCTGATGGGGAACTGCCACTGCTCTCTATTTATTCACTGGATTGCTGATTTCCCCTTAGTAGCATCTTAGTATTTTATCAGATAAGATAATAATAATATGTTTTCCTGGATCCAGAGACATTAATCAAAGTGATTTTGATTAATCTTAAGAAAATACTTCCATTGTTAGAAGACATATTCCTGGCTTTTACACCTGATTTCTGTTGTTTAAATATTAATACACCTGTAAAGAACTACGAGCTGGAAATGTCCTCAGATTTGGTTTCAGAAATCTGGTGACCTTGTTCTAAAACCCTTTCTCTGCTCTGTGTCTCATTGAACAGGGTGACGTCACTTCATAACCACAGAAAAAATGTTTGCTCCAGACTTGAACTATCATCTTCTAACCTGGATTAGGTTATTTATACTGATAATAATTTCAGTTTTGCTCTGTGGTTTGTACCTCAGATTCTTTTCGTCCTGAACGACGTTTGCATGTCCTACCTTTCCATGTGTGGGTTTCTCCAGGTACTCCAGCTTCCTCCTACAGTCTGAAAACATGACTGATGGATCAATTGGTATCTCTAACGTATCCTTAGAATATCAGTGAGTGCATGGTTGGTCGTCCTGTGATTGATTGGAGACCCAGTGGGGACTCAGGGACTTGCCCAAACTATTTAATTTTTTTTCCTGAATAGGAAACTAAAATTGGAAGATATTTTAGCTTTGTGGTAATGGCTAATTCACAAACCTGATGCCTGGTATGCAAAAATCAAGATAAGGGATTATGTCTGGATTTTCCAATTATCATGGACTAATGAAGCTGTAGCTTAGCTTTCACCAAAGCAGAAACCTTAGTTACCATGGTGATTTATGCTTCGCAGCTTGCTTGCTCAAGACCAGGTTAACAGCCAGGCTTATTTAATCCTGGTTCTTTATCTGCTTAGTCAGTGCCATAACGGTTGGAAACCGATTAGTTTATCAGAGATTCTGCACCTTATATATATATATATATATATATATATATATATATAT